AATATATGAACAAATAGGAACATATTACTAGTACCTTTCCACTTTTCAAGCCAAGTATTTAGCTTATTCAAATAACATACCTTTGAACCAACCAGGTTTCACATAATGCTACTTTTAAACCTTTTCTAATCAACAAGGTTTATTTAAAGTTTCAGGCCAAACCTGTTATTTTCTCCTCAATAACATCCAGACTATGATTTTCAATCCTAAATCTTTAAATCACAAAGAAATAAAGATTCCAGACCACGGTAGTCTTAAGAGATATAATAGCAAGAGTTATATCATATAACACACATACAAATGCCACCCTTATATCCAAATGTACACCTCTCCTTGATATGCCACCCTTATCCCATGGTACACCTCTCCTTGATATGCCACCCTTATTTCCTTATCAAAACATTTCACAAAAATAATTCCAAATAGACCGCAGTCAAATGGAATTATTATCGGTTCAAAATTATCTTTATCAAAATTCCCATTTTATGATAAATAACAATTTTTATCAATCGTACACAAGGCATAATACAAATCCGATCAACATAGGCTTGGCCGGACTTCATCTCCGGTCAAGTCTTGGCCGGTTTACCAAATTCGGACAACATATCGCCCTAAGGCTTGTCCGATTTAACACTTAGAATAAATTTCAACTGCTTTTGTCCGGATAACAAGTCCGGACAACACTATCCTTTTTTGTCCTGATTTAAAATAATCCGGTCACCATTTTAGTCGTATTCCTACTTCTTCGTTCAAAATGTTTAACATACTCAACATTCATAAATCGCTCAATGCTTGACCGGTTTAAAACTAAACCGCTTATGTCTTGTCCGGTTTAGGGCTTAATCGCCCAAACCCTTGTCTGGTTTAAGACTTAAACCGCTCAATACTTATCCGGTTTAAGACTAATCCGGACAACACTCCTACGGTTTAAATTTCCAACCATATGAAAAGATTTTATACAACTAGTTATGCATTCCAAAGAGAACTTAAAGCATTTAAAACCACTCACCTTTAAAATCTTTTTAGAAATAGGATTGAACACAACTTGAATCTGCTTGATTCCAATCAAAAGCAATCCGGTCACCACCACTTCTTAAATCACACACTCTCTTTCCAAAAAATGGCAAGAAGAATATGAAGGAGGGTTAACCTCCCTTTTATACCTTTCTACAAAGGGATATGATGGCTAAACCGCCTACTCATGCATGCCTTCATATGCATACAAACATATATATATATATATATATTTGTATATATGTATATACACACTCATTCACACATATCATGCATATATCCATTCATGTACATATATATACCTATGCATAAAAAGTTCACATACTCACATGATCAAATATAACAATTTATCATGTTGTCACGTAAACATTTAACAAATAAGCACATATTAATTATCTCGGGTGATAACCAGGGTCCTTATCACAGAAGTAGTACCAGTACCATGAACCCTGGGAATAATGGTCATAGGCACATAGGGTCCATGTTTGATGGATTCATACAAGTCCAGGTCAATACCTTCATAGAAGTTTATCATCTGAATACTCCACTGAATATATTCTTCCCTAATGTGAGTCGGTGGTTTAATGAGGGATCCAGCACTATACATCAAGTTCCAAGATTGGTTGGACATTTTTCAAGAAAAGGGTAAAACAGATAAACTAGAAGCTTCGAAGAATAGAAAACAGAACTTGAAGAACGCAAACTTGGAGAAAATATTCAAATATGATTATCTTCACAAAAATGAACGAGATCTGTAGATTTTCACATAAAATTTGAGATCTGGAATTAAAAGCGATTTCAAGAAGATAAAATAACCAAACAAAAGAGGATATCCTTTATGGATTGGATCCAACTAATCAATAGACTGATTATATGGCTTTGATACCAATTGTAGGAACTCAGATCCTCTATTTGCACTAATAATCACTGCTTGAGTCAATATATGAGCGAAAGCAATAACTATGAAATTAGTTGGTTAAGTAGAAATGAACAAAACACATAAATTCTTGAAGTATTGAACAAGTCGGTTGTATTTGAAAAACTAATGAGAATGTCAAGAACACCAAGAACACACACAAGTGTGTGTACAAAAATCTCTCAAGTAGCTAAATTTCTCATAAGTGCTAAAACTATCTCTACCAAATTGGAAGGAGCACATCTTCAGTATGGTAATAATTGGTAACCTATTTCCTTGGAGGAAATATCCTTTTATAGGAAATCTTGTAAAAGGAATCTTCTATAATTTAGGAAATAGGAGAAGTCCGCACGTCCACCAATCATCTGCCTTCACGTTGCTTGATTGAAGTAACCATTTGTAACAATCCATACTTCTATCCAACACAAGTCTCAGTGCAATCATACACAACTTTATGTAACACTTAATTTCAACCCGAAACTAAGTATTAACACAAAGTATAAGAAAATATGGATTAACAAAAACTTTGTTTGATACAATACACACATCTATATATCACTGTATTAAGTTTTTCCCTTGCCTTTGTCTTGTGATGAAAGATGACCTGCAAAACAGATTAGTACAATAATTGAGCGTTAGACCAAAAGGTCTAGTGAGTGTAACATTCTCATGCATACAACATATATTTCAAAATCCAAGATTACAATAAATCTGGACATTTATATGAATTTCATATGTTTATCTCTCGCGGTTACACCACCATTTTCTCTCTCGTGGTTACACCGCCATTTCCTCTCTCATGGTTACACCGCCATCTCCTCTCTCGTGGTTACTACGCCATCTCCTCTCTCGCGGTAACTATGTCATTTCCTCTCTCGTATCAAAGTTTAATCTATACTCCAACCGGATATGCAATCCGGTCAATTCCAGCCAGATAAGAAATCCGGACAACACTTAGCCGGATATGCAATCCGGACAACACTAGCCGAATATGAATTCCAATCAACACTAGCCGGATATGAATTCTGGACAACTCTTGGCCAGTTTAGACATTAATCCGGATGACTCTTGGCCGATTTAGGATAAATCCGGATGACTCTTTACCGATTTAGACATTAATCCGGATGACAATTGGCCGGTTTAGGATAAATCCGGATGACACTTGACCGGTTTAGGATCAATCTGGATGACACTAGACCGGTTTAGCATAAATCCATATACCTCTGTCCGGTTTACTTGTATCCAGATGACAAAATATATTTTCATAATTCAAATAACAATAAAACAACTAATGTATCAATAATACATCATATATATATATGTTTATCTCTCACGGTTACACCACCATTTTCTCTCTCGTGGTTACACCGCCATCTCCTCTCTGGTGGTTACACCGCCATCTTCTCTCTCATGGTTACTACGCCATCTCCTCTCTCGCGGTAACTATGTCATTTCCTCTCTCGTATCAAAGTTTAATCTATACTCCAACCGGATATGCAATCCGGTTAATTCCAGCCAGATAAGAAATCCGGACAACACTTAGCCGAATATGCAATCCGGACAACACTAGCCGGATATGAATTCCAATCAACACTAGCCGGATATGAATTCTGGACAACTCTTGGCCAATTTAGACATTAATCCGGATGACTCTTGGCCGATTTAGGATAAATCCGGATGACTCTTGATCGGTTTAGACATTAATCCGGATGACAATTGGCCGGTTTAGGATAAATCCGGATGACACTTGACCGGTTTAGGATCAATCTGGATGACACTAGACCAGTTTAGCATAAATCCAGATACCTCTGTCCGGTTTACTTGTATCCAGATGACAAAATATATTTTCATAATTCAATAACAATAAAACAACTAATGTATCAATAATACATCATATAGAGAGGAGGTTTCTGAAACACTCACCTTGAAAATAGATTGTTTCTTCACTTCGGAGATTAATAAATCGCCCAAGGAGTTTTACTGATTTTCAAGTGTGTAAACCCTTTTCTATTCAACCTCTCTTACTATATATAGTAAGAGAGCAACATGAGTGAGGCAGTGTCAAAAGACAACCACCACCTCCCCCCGTTCTTTTGACCACATATAAAAAAATAAATCCACCCACACACAACATACTTAAAAATCTAACCAAAATTTACTAATAAACCGAATCAACACACCATTTTTGTGAACGTGTCTGGGATTGGAACACTTGTAAGATGCGTCGTGGAACCTTTGCACACAAGGAAGACTTAAGAGACCTAGAGGCTCTGCATGTATAGTGTAGAGGCTATGTGTCTTGAATGGGGCTCTATATCAAATCCTTAGCTTTCTGACATGCAATCGTTAATTTTTTTTTCCTCTTAGCGATGAGCTCTATATCCAGGTAACATCTCTTTATCTGAGCTCTTGGTTCCAGGTAGCTTTCTAGACTAAGTCATTTTGAATAGAGCAAGAGGTTTTTTACTTACACTTTTGAAATAGCCATCCTAATAGAAATTGCGAGGATTGTCCATTGTAGAAGGACTATGGGGACTACCCACTGTGGTAGGTGTGGTTGTTACTTTGCTGAAAAACTAGGGGATTTTGGGTCGACTTAGGCTTGGATTCACCCCAGGGGGTCGTAATCTTGGATTACCGGCCCATGATAAATTAGGGTGGTTTTGCCAGTTCGGGTTGTAAGTGTGGGAATAGGACTATTCTTTGAATGATTTTCTACATAGTTTATTGAGACAGGATTACCAGGAAAATTTTCATATGCATGATTTTCATCATAAAATAAACAGCTTTCATTCAGAGTTGGATTAGTCACTACAAATTGCACTTGGTTCTTTTCTCCTAGATTCAGATTATTTTTTACCAAGTTTGTTGAAGTGACAATTTGTGCGTTTAAAGCTGTGATGGCATCTAGGTCCTGGACTCTCGAAGCACTCTTGGGAGGGAGTATACGGGGGTTAGACAAATCAGTGTTGTTGTTGGTAACCTTCTCAAGAATATTGTAGCATCGAGGACAATTTTTGCAGAATTGGAGAGGCCATTATGGAATTTCTCCAATTGAATGCAATAGAGGATTCCATGATGTGGGCACTTCCAAAGAAGTTCCTTGAACCTCTCCCAAGCATCGGACACTGCTTCGTCGTCCCCTTGTTGGAACAGCAAAATTTCATTTCTAAGTTTCACATTCCTCATTGGAGTAAAGTATTTCTTTAGAAATTTCTCAGCGAGGTTGGCCCAAGTAGCTATAGACTGGGGTGGTTGAGAATTTATCCAAGCTTTAGCTCTATCTCTTAGTGAAAAAGTGAATAGTGTTAGCCGTAGGGCTTGATTTGGAATTCCTTGAACTTTGAAAGCACCCACAATTTCTAAAAAATGATTTTAAATGGAAATGTGGATCTTCCGAAGGTAATCCTTCAAATTGGCCTATTGCTTGGATCATTTCGAACATTAATGGTTTTATCTCGAAATTTAGTGCAGTCATATTGGGTTTAACAATACCGGAGTTTAATTGACCAAACTCAAGGGTAGCATAGTTCTGTATTCCTTGGTCTTTGTCATTAGCAAACCTTACCGCATTTTTACTCTAGAGGTGGTGGATTGTTTTCAGGATGTTCACCCCTACCAATGTCACCATGATATTGTTAACGGAGGGTTGCCCATTACCTTGACCTCCTCTACCTCTTCGACGTCTACAAACGATTCTTCAATTTCCGGGTCTCGAGGAAAAAATTCACCGTGTTGTAGCTGTGGCCTACAACACAAAAAATTACTAAGAAAACTTGTGACTCAGACTCAACTAAAAATCAATATCTCTGGCTTAAAAATCACACCAGTCCCTGGCAATGACGCTAAAAACTTGATAGAAAAAATTTCACATGTAAATCGTGGCACAATAGCATTGCAAGTGCACACCGCTATTAAGTTCGCTTCAAGTAATACAATGGAAAGTTCCAAAGATCGTTTTCCACAGGGACTAGTGTACTAAGAATGGGACATTTTTACAAACTTCCAGTGCAAAGTTAGAGTTTATAGTTTTGAGTAGAATATTGATATCTTAAAAACAAAAATTAATAAAGGTATGGGTGTAATTTTTACCCGAAAGTATAATAGTAACTTAAATGGTTGATAAAACCGGTCACAAATTAATTCCATTCGACTTCCTCCTCTCAAAGCAACGTCCTATGTGTTGCGATTACATTTTCTCATAAAGTTTCCACAAATGTTAACTTTCAGTTTGCCAACCATACTAAGTAGATCTTGCAAATCTTAGAATTGCCAGTATGGAGAGATGCGCATATCTCTATGAGACACTAACTCAACCAACATCTGAACCTTAGTCCGATTACGTAAAAACTCATATCTCTATGCGATTATTGAAGATTTTCTCAAACCTCCATGCATCATTCAAGCGTATTTTGGATCCACCCATCATTGAGTCAAAGATCTAATATTAACACTTACGAGTGATCAACTTGTTCATGTTGAGTTAAAGCTTCAACTCGAATGACCAAATTGAAGAGTTAGAAAGAAGTGGTAACACCCAAGTGTTACATTTTGAACTCTCGGGCATGGCTTACACCCACACCCAAGAGGAGGGGGGTTAGCTACTGCTCATGAGTAAAGACATAATAGAAGAACAATAATACTCAAACATAAATTGCATTAAACGTGAACTTGCCACTGTGGTTAGATCCCACAGGACAAACAGAAAATAAAATATTGCATAAATTAAACTAACTAGACAAAAAATAAAAGACTAAAAGATTTGAAGTTGATTCTTGGTTATAAAAGGTCCTTTATGATGTTCTATATATAGGGTTATCAATAGTATTGTTGTTTTTAAGGACTATTTATATGTTAGTGTAAGGAGATATGAAAAAAGGTAGGTTTTTATAGGAGACGATATGTATATAATTTGCCTAAATAATTTTCTTATTATACATCTTTAATAAACAATAAGTATAGAAATTTAAAGGGTTTTTTGAAATCTCATTAACTTTTCCATATAAACGGATTAAATTTTGAAAACTCATATATTTATCTCAACCAAAAAAAATTAAATTGCTTGAAATATATTAGTTTTTCAAATAAACATATTATATAAAATAGATATTTTTATTCTTTTTGATTTTATACATATATCGATATATATTTTTAATTTTTTAAGACCCAGTTACGAAATATTCCATCATAATTACATTCAAATATATTTATACAATATTTATAAAATGGAGATGCTTGTTGGAAATGCCCTTAAGATTTGTTATAATTTCTTTAAAATAGAAAATAAAAAATAATCTTTAAAAAATTACATTTAACTCCAAGAGCTTCTTTATTATAGAGATTTCAATATTGATTATATTACTAAAATACTCTATAAATTTATCATCCTAATAAACTTTTTAAAACAAAATTATATAAAATAATAATAATTCAATTTTATTGGTGGAATAAATAAAAAATTAATTTCTCTCTCTATACAATAAGAAGGCGTTTGGTTTGCAAATTCTGAAAGAATCTGATGTAATTGGAATGTTGACTTTCATTGAGCAAATTTCATTCCCTCGTTTGGTTCATTCATTTTCACCAAAGTGATCTTCAAAATTTTACAAATTATACAAATTTCATAAATAAAGGAATTTCACATTCTTTAACAACTACATGGTATTTTGATGGAATAAAATTCTTTATTTTCATAATACCAAATATGTCTTTAACCCAATATATCCTAATCTCATAAAACTCAATATGACCATCGTCAACCACCTTCAACCACCACCGATCTGAATCACTGCCGACCACCACCATCTGAACTGCCGCTAACCATCGCCGACCACCACTGATGAGCTAATCCACCGTCGATCTGAACCACTGTCATCACCGCCATCTGAACCACCATGGACCACCACCGATTTAAACCATTGTCGATGTTGATCCTCTCTCTCATTGATTTGATGATAATCCCTTTTACCTTTCGAAGTATTATGTTTCTGTCTTTTCAGTTTTAGCGATCATCACTGAGTTTGTTTAGTGATTGCTAAAACATGCATTGTAATCCTACAACGATAGCGATACTTCAAGAAGACAAAACTCACACCCAAGAACCTTTAGCGAATGTCGAAGACTGAAATTGAAGATTAGTGACTGGCACGTTCGTGATCTGAAGCGGTATTCAGTTATTACAACCTGGTCAACATACGTGTGAAGACTGCACAAGCCTTAGTGAATGCTGAAGAGACCTCCAGCGTTATTCTAGCATTCATCGATCAAATGAAGCTTTCCATACATGATTGTTTTTGTCGTCCTTCCACACACAAAGGACAAACCCATACCCTTTCAAGAGTATAGTACTGCACGGAGCTGACTAGTCGACTCTAGTGCTCACCAACTCCATGAAAGGATGTCTGCTCATGAATAGACAATATTACTATTCACTGTTGCAAAGCACAAGCTTCCCTCTAAAATATTGACGCATGTTCTAACCCTTCTGAATTACATTCAATGCAATGGGTATAAATAGCTGAGTGTTATCCTAATGCACTACATCTAAAACACACAAAAGAACACATATGTTTATCTTCAAGCAAATTAGATTTTCTCTCTACTTCTAAAGTTCTTACCCAAGAAGAACATCTTTCTGTCTTCATATTTTCAGCAAATCTTTTCTATTTTGCTAAGCATATATGTGTGTAAACTTAGATTGTTTTAGATAGGTTATCTTTATCTATTCTAATTTCTTAAACAATCTTCAAAAAATCAGTACTAATCTTTCTCTATCAATATATATTTTTAAATACTAAAGTTTTATGTGTTTGTATTCATCCCCCTTTCTACAAATTCTTCGTCTATAACTCTTGTAGAGTCGGTTGGGACCAACAAGTGGTATGAGAGCAGTGTTTTCTTCTCATCTTGTTTAGTTTGTTTATCTGTATTTTATTATCTCTTTTTCTCTAGATAATTTATTGCTTTCCAAATGTTTTTGCAAAACACAAGCACAACACTTTCACGATAATGGCTCCCTTGTCAAACCTCCCTGATTTATTAGGGACAACTTCAGTCTCTGGAAAAATTGGATGTCTCTTTTCTTAGAAGGTGTGGATCCTGAGTTCCCACATTATATAGAAAATGGACCTTATGTTCCATATGTTATATCTCCGGCTATTCCTGAAACAGCTACGACTGTCGCGATTCCAGAACGGCAGATTCTTAAGCTCCCTCATAAGTGGAGTGATGAAGACAAGATGAAGGTAGCTATAGATACTCATGCTAGATCTATAATAGCTATGTCTCTTCCTAACGAGGTCTAACACTCTATGATTAAGCTTAGGACCTTGAAAACCATGTGGGACACTCTTTGTGTACAATATGAAGGTACCTCTTAGGTACAAGAATCGAGGAAGATAAATCTAGTAGGACAATATGCAAGCTTTCTCTGTGGAAAGACTGAAATGTTGTCTGAAGTACATCAAAGGTTTAATTGTCTTCTTATTGATTTAAGGACGGTTGGCAGACAATATTCCAACTCTAAAACTTTGACGAAGTTTCTTGAATGTTCACCAGAATCCTGGGATACATTTTCTATGTGTCTCAAGATGTCCAACGATATGTCATCCCTCTTTCTTAGCTCTTTATATAGGATACTACTCAGTCATGATCAGTCTCGACAACTGAAGATGAATCTAACCAAGGGTTCTAGAGACATGAAAAGCTCTTCACTAGCTTTGATCTCTGAAGATTTTTCAGTTGAACTCCCGTCTTCTTCTTCTATTCTTTCTTCTTCAGTTTTTATAACGGAGTTAGATTCCACTAACTCTGAGGAGTTGTCAGAGTCTGATCTCGGAGACTTTGATGAATCACTGGCACTTCTAACTATGTCTTTTAGAAGATTCGCTAGAAAAAGTAACTTCCACAGATCTCCCACGCTGACCATTAAAGAAAAGCCAAAGTCATATACTATTGACAAGGGTTCAACAGTCTGCTACAACTATCAACGCAAAGGTCACTTTGCGAGTGAGTGCAGGTCAAAGAAGACTGCGATGCCATCTTCGAAAACCCCATCCTTCTTCAGAACCAAAGACGATAAATATCTGAAGTTAAAGGAGAAGTATAAGAAGATGAAGAGTTCTCACCGAAAAGGCAAAGGTCTTGTTGCTGAAGAACATGATTGGGCTGATTCGTTT